ATAAATCCAATTAGGTGATAGAATTTCCTCTTGTCTTCTCAGTTAATTTTAACACATTAAGATGGTGAGATACACCTATAACAGTATTCCACTATACAGAGTAATCATAGAGGTAGATATGTTATAAATGACATCATCATCATTATCATTATTATTTTGCCTGTGAAATAGGTAAAAAGAATGATCATATTCATTCTGGTAATGAAAGTACTGGGATTTAGACATTTGTTGTGGGGAGTTCCACTGGAGCAGTCCTTGGGAGTGACTGGATGGCATGGACTGGGACTTCCGGCAAGGGCCAGACATCAGGCCACACTCAAGCCTAGTAGCCCTTGGAGGGGGCTGTTGAATGCCCCGTGCACTGGAGGACTAGGCAGGCAGCTGAGGACACTTTGTTCCAGAAATGACCCTAAGCACTCCAACAGTGCCCTGGTGGAAGTCCTTTTGTCTGCTCACCCCGCGGGGACTCCCCAGGCAATGTTTGATAATGTTTGATGTTGTCATAAACTGGCCAAAATCATTTGGAAAGCAGTTTGTAAATACTAAGAGCTATAAAGACGTGATCTGCTTCTGGGAATCTATCTTTAAGAAACTGCTCAAAGTACATAACAAAGCAGCTCTGTTCATGAAATGAAGATAGGGTGAGTTATCTAGGAAAGCTTCTCTGCACATTCCGAATCCCACAGCTGTTCTCAGGGTTAACCTAGCTCACTGGTTCTCAAAGTGTGGTCCCTGGGCCAGCAGCAATGGTGGTACCTGAGGCCTTTGTAGAAATGCAAAGTCCTGTACTCTAGTCCAGACTACTAAATCAGAAGCCCTGGGGGTGGAGCCAAGCAATTCGGGGTTTTAGCACATACCGCAGGGGATTCTGGTGCTTGCTCCAGACAACAACCACTGGCCTAACGCTTAGTATCACCTCTGGAAGCTTGACTAAAGCAGCTGAAGAGGGGTGCACCGTGACTCCCTCTGCTCTGTCTGCACTCGCACCCCTCTCCATTTTGTCACGGGCACATAATTCATTAGGCACAGTCCTCCTCCTTGATTCCTTTAGCCAGTCTTCAGAGGCTTCCAGCTACTGCCGATCCTTAGAACATCTACAGAGGATGCTAGAGTGGACAAAATGGAGAGGGGAGAGACAGAAAAACATGTTTAATAAATGTCCTTCCTCTCTGAGTGCAAGACATGCATCATTCCTTGTACCCTAAAAAGTGTCCTGATGAACACAATAATGAAATCGTCATGTCTACAGTGCCCTGAAAAACAGTCTCACTGGCTCCTCAGGCTGCCCTGGGTGGGAAGAGAGAGACATTCCGCTGCAGATCAAACTCATCCTTCAGGCGAGCCGGACCCATGGGTGGCTTGTGGGGGGTGCTGCTCCTTGGTTGGAATAACATGTGGCCTGTGCCTGTTTTCCACCTCCTGCCATTCCCAGGGCTGCTTATGCACAATAAATTAAGTGTGGCTGTTGTGCTGACATGGACAAATTGGCAATTATAGCAGAAATAATTCAGCCCTGGACTTTTGTTCCTGAGCTGGTAGTTGTCAGAGATCTCGGCAGGTCGCCTTCTCCAGAGCCAGGTGTTGCGTGCCATGTCTCTGCAGACCTCTCCTCCCCTCTCTCCCAGGGGAAGAGCAGTACAGGCAGTTTGCCAGCTGTGTTGGGCTCAGCCTCAGCTGCTCAGCTGGTGAAGCTGCCTTTGCCTGGGTGTATCTTCCATAGGACCTAGGCGGCAGGATCTGGGGTGCATGTGGCTCCACTCGGCCTGAGCAAGCGGGGTTGAAGGTATGTCCCACAAATTAGTTAATCAATCTTTCCCTAACCAGTTCTGCAGAACTGACTCTGATATCTACAAACAAATGGAGAGATTAAAATCAATAGAACTGGGCTTTTCAAACTAGAAAATGCACACACATTACATGAAGATTTGATAAGATGCAGATTTTAATTCATAGTTCTGGGATGTGGCCCACGATTCAGCATTTCTACGGTCCTAGTTGATGCTGTTGATGCTGGTCTGTGGACCCTATTTGAAGGGCAAGACTATAGAGCAGGGATGCCCAAACTTATCTGTATGTTGGAATCACCTGCAGAGCTTAAAAAAAAAATGTTGATGTGTGTCTGACCCCCACCTCCCCAGAGATGGTGATAATTGGGCTGGAACATGGCCCAGACTTTGAAACATTTAAGACTCCAGCTACAGAGGAACTGATAAAATAAGCAGCTGGCACCTTATAGACTCATCAGTCTTCCCCCTCAGTTAGCAAGGGAGCCAGGTTGAGGGGGAGCATAGTATCCTCTGATGGGGCAATTTGTAGAATAGGGTTGTCCTTGGGTCCCAAAGTGGGTTGGACATCCAAATCATGTAGGAGCTTGTTCAAATTTTGGAATTCAGAGCATCATTCCAGGTTTACTAAATTTGAATCTCTGAAATGGGATCCTGGAAATGTTTATTTTTAACAAGCTCCTCAGGTACTTGAGAATAGCCAGCCCAGCGATGATATGTGTCCACCTGAGCAGCCATCTCCTGGGGACCTTCCACAGGGGCATTTATTAGCTCTTCTAAGCCACCTGCTGTTGAGTTACATTATATATACATATAATTTGCTCTGTTTCTGTACATCTTATAAAAATTTCCATGTGCTGCTGTTCCTCTCCTATAGTACCTCTTAGTGGCTGGCAATGGTGCTTCAAACCAAAATGATTCCAGAACTCCAGGACCTACCCAGCCCTTGCTTTCCCTGGTGGACCCTGAGAATCACCTTGGTGTGACCTCAGCCCTTTACGGAAGCACAGCCTTGTGAAGCAAATCTGTGCTTGGAACAGACTTTGGGCCCCACTGTAAGGTTGCTCTCATGAACCTGTGCGCCCTGGTGAGACACTCCCCCTCTCTTTGAGTCGGTTGCCTTTTCTGGCCTTAAAGGCTAAGGCCCCTAATCATTTTCTGTATTCAGCAAGACCTTGGTGTCTCCTCCCTGTTCATTCTACTTTTTCTCCCTGTCAGAGGCAGTCGGTATTTAGAATGAACATCTGTGGGATGTTGAGTAGAAGGAGCTTTAGAAATGACAGGTCTCTGTGGGGGTCACCATCTGGGCCTTATTCCAGGCATATATAGCTTCTAACATTCCTGGTTTTACTTTGAGCTTTTCTAGTCATGTGATTTTTGCCCGTGTCATTTCCTTTTTCCTTTAAGAATCAACTTCTACATGTATCTACTTAAATCCTTCCCACCCTCTGGTATTACCCCAACTCCTGTTCCTCTCTGAAATTTGTCAGAGTGAAGGGTGGGAAGGATCTGGTATGGGAAATATAAGGTGGCTCATAGAATAACTAGCTAAGATGTCTCGATTTTGTTCTGCTAAGCACGGAGAACCAATGAGCTGGGGAATGGTATGGTTGGAGCTGTGCATGAGGAATGCTGAGATTAAAAGCTACGAAATGAGGACCAGTTATGAGGTGATGGAAAAAATCCAAGCGAGAGCTGAAGAAAGCCTCTCTTATGATAGTACACATGGAGAAAAGGGAATAAAAATAAATAATACACTAGAAAAAGATAAGTAAGTAGTTAGATATATTTAGTGGGTGGTTCTTCCAACTTCCTAGGAGATAATGCACTTGGAAGTGCTTTTGTAAACTTGAAAGTACAATGCAAAAGTAGGGTATTGTTATTTGTAAATCACTGCTCATCAGTTTATCCAAATTTTGGGAAAACTATTAAATGTAATGATGATCAAAAAAGGTCAATGAAAACAGAAGCCATGGCATGTAGGATATGATGACATGATATTTCATCAAAAGAAAGTTATCCAAATAGTATGTCTACTTTAAAGGCAAACCAAATTTTAAGTCTAAAAATTCTGCTTTGGAATGGCATAAAAACAGATATTTCTCAAGTGAGTCATTCAACAGGACAGGCTGTTCCTTTGGCTCTTCTATTCAAGCTGCTCTTCAATCTCAAAAGCTTAAAAATACATGTCCATGTCCCAGCAGAGTCATCATCTATGGCTTGGTACACCACTTTATGGTTTAGATCCAGGAAGCAATTTGACTCACCTATTTCTCCATTGTTTTAATAAAACATTTCTCAGCATAAACTCCTTGCAAATTGACCTGTACGTGTTATTTCCAACGGAGATGAACACAACAGGCTACCATCAAAACCTAATGGGTTTCTCTCAGAAGCTAGAAGTATTATAAATGTTTTAGGAGAAAAGAATCATGTCTTAATCCTCTTAGAATCCTTCAAAGATCCCAGCCTAGTATCTGGTTCAGCATAAGTGGTAAATACATATTTGTTACATTAGATGTAATTGCTGTAGTTTAAAAGTGTTGATTTGTTATTAAATGTACCAAAACATTCTGTTTAACATTCATACCTAAAGTATGTATGGAATGCCTTTCATGGGCTTAGGACTTAGTTGTGTCATTTGATTGAAACTGACAGAAATGCAACTCAAAATAACCTAGACTGTTTTTTAATTTATTCTTTGTAATAGTGAGGCTAAGAATATACTGGGAAAAAAATGGCTTGCTTTTCATCTCTCTGCTCTGCTTGGTGTGTTGGCTTTTATTCTCCTGTAGGGCATCTCCTCGTTATGGGGAAATGGTACCAATAACTCCAGGCCTGCATTCCACTGACTTTGGAGGAAAACCATTCCTTCCACTTCTAGCAACAATCTCAGATTGACTGGAATTTGTAGTGTCTACCTGCCAGGCTCGGCTCATAGGCCCATCCCTGAAGCAGGCATTGCCACCAGGGGATGTGAAAGTCACCCATGGGTCTGAGTGATAGGACCACCTCCTGGGCTAATGGGCCGAGAGTCCAGGGAGGTGGTTCACAAAGACAATCCAGGTGCTGCTGATAAAATATGGAATTAATTCTGGACAGGCAAAAAATAGTAGGTGTCTGTCCCGACCCGCGGGATTAACGTGGAGTGTAGCCGGAGACGCCTGCAGAAATGAACAAGCAAGGGACACAAAGAACGACCAGCAAGACAGGATGTCTGATCAAGCTGGCGCAGTTTATTTGCAGCAGGCTTAATTTATACCGATCAGCAAGGAAGGGGAGGGTCGGAAGATGATTGGTCACCAGGTGGTGCTAGCAGGAATGTGTACAGGGTGATTGGGTCTCGGTGGGCACTGGCGGGAATAGCAAACCCGGAAAAGAAGCAGGAAATCCGCCATCTTGTGGGTGTGGGCCCTTTTGGTCTCCGGCATCTCCTCCTTTTCTATTCTTTTTAGGAGGGGTTGGGACAGGAACTTGGAGCTTTTTATCTACTGGGTAGACGGTGCCTGTCTTAGGTTTAGAGGTTTTGTACCTGGCCTCTGTTTTTCAGGAGCTTGCCTCTTTTTGAAGTCGGCTTGGTATCTTCAGGGGAGCTTGCCCCAATACTGGATCGGCCTATGTAAATAGGAGCTTGCCCCAGTATTAGGTCGGCCCCTGTTATTTTTTACCAGAGGTCTTATGTCTGTCCTGTTTTTCTGCAGGTACAACCTCTTAATTACCCGTCATTGACTACCCGCCTAATTGCCCAGAGATGTTGTCAAGGGACAGGACAAGAAACCTTGACATAGCTCGTTCCTGGTTTATTTTATTGCCAGCTTAGGGCTCTATGTAAAGATTCACACCTTGGTCAGCTAAAGCAAGGCGGTGATAATGAACTTGGATGGGCTTTGCTACGAGGGAGTCAATTTGCTGTTTGATTAACATTGTAAGTTTTTGAAAAGCCCAGGGGCCGAAAGAAAGTACCAGTAGTAATCCTAAAAGAGGGCCTAATATAGGAAGGAGGTACGGGAGGAGTCCATTCAATCCTGTCCAAAGAGGGTTGTTCTGGAGTTCTTTCCTTCTTCTCTCGAGATCTTCTTGGAGAATCTTTATCTTATCTCGAACAATGCCTGACTTGTTGGCGTAGAAGCAGCATTTTTCCTGCAAAGCTAAACAGATACCTCCCTGTTCTGCTGTGAGGAGATCTAAACCTCGACGATTTTGCAAAACTACCTCTGCAAGTGAGTCAATTTGGTCCTGGAGATCATTGATTGTTCCTGAGAGTGTTTGAACATCATTAATTAATTGATGGGATAACTTATGGTAGGAATGTATGGCTATTCCTGCCCCTGCTGTTCCTGTGGCCATTGCGGTAGTAATCCCGAGGCCTACTAGGATTGGGATAAGCTGGATGGCTCTTTTAGAGCGTGAATGCCCTGCCATATACTCAAAGCTGGGTATGGGGATAGGTTTTTCTCCTGGGATAATATCAATATCTGGGAGAATACTGGCTTGCACACATAACCCAGTCCAATTTGAGGGTAAGGCAGTGAAGGCCAGGTTTCCTCCACAGATAAAAACTTGTCCAATAGCAGGGCAGAGAGCTGAGGAATAATTAGAAACTTGGGAGCAATTTGTGAAAGAGGCAAATCCTACGTTCACGTCATCACTATTATTCTGGGGCTGCTTTTGTATGCATAGGGATGTGTTAAATCCTACAGGCTGTACTCTAAAGGGTGAGTTAAGAGTACAATTCTGTTCTGGCAGTGTAGTGGTAGCGTTAGTGGGAATTGCGAGGGGCATAGGCGTACCAAGGGTCATGCATAGCCAGCAATTTTCAGCAAGGCTGGGATTAGTAGCGTTTAGTGCGCTATGGGTGGCTTTTAGAATATCAGCAGTCTGGGTGTCAAGATCTATGCCACGAGACTTGGGCAAGGCTAGAGGGTGATACTCTAGGGGAGGGTATATTTCTTTGATAATTTTTTCAATTTTCTTTTGAACTTGGGCTTCTCTCACCTGATCTGTTGGTCCACCACCATCAGATATGTGGATTGGGGCTTGCAGTGGCCAGCAGGTCGCCTTGCCAAGTTTACCATGACAGGAGGCTTGAGCATATTTAGAATGTCCTTGGGGGTTGCTATAATCATACTCGCCTCCAAAGGAACCAGCATAACCATTTTGTAAGATGGCTGTTAGATATTTTTTGCCATCGGCACCAGTGCACTGTTGGACAGTGCGGTAACAGGTAGAGTGTAATTCAGTGGCTTTTTGGCAGGGGTCGGGACAAGGCCCTGGTTTGCCATCAATTGTAGGTATAATTTTGGGTTTTCTTACACATTTCCAAGACTGGGGAGTCCAACCCACTCCAGATGCAGAGATATCTGCTGTGAGGTATGCTAGTTTGTCTTGGCAGTCTACGGGTCTTCTGGTAATAATTTGACCAGGTAAATATTTTGTCCCTTGAGATGTTATTTGTGTATGTCCTCTCAGGCTAGGTTCTAAATCCATCACTCCTCCCTTACAATCACAAGGGCTTCCATACAGCTGAATGAGGAGTTCTTCCTTATTTGGAGGGGGTCCAAACCCTCCTAGGACAACAGTGACTATTACAGTAGCGATAAGGGAATGGGTAGTAGACATGATGACATTTTAGGGTTTAAATGAAAATAGGCAAGATCACTGGTAGTGGGCCTACAACTGTGCTAACAAAGGTCAGATGGGCTTACCTTGTCCAATGATGATGAATATTTATCTTCTCCCTGAAAGGCAAGGAAAAACTGTTCTCAGGGTGGATTCTCCTCCCTGGAATGTATTGAATTATTACAATTTCGTTTTGAAGAAGTATTGATGGGTTTAACAAGGCGTTCGGGTAACCATCGAGGTCCGTTTCCCTGTGTATCATAAACACAGGCGTGACCTCTACCCCAGATAAGAACTGGGTCGGGACCATGCCATTTAAAAGTTAAAGGATCTTTCCATAGGACTTCTGCAAATTGGGTTTTTGTTTCTTGGTGCCACAACCTGTCGGCGGCTGACTTATTGTGGCTATCTAATTGTAAGAAATTGAGTGTAAATAAAGCATGATTAAGGAGGTTTTTTGGAGAGCCTCTTATAGGGTATGCTGTGTTGGTTTTAAGTTTGTTAATTGTACTCTTTATTGTCTGATGGGCCCGCTCGACTATTCCTTGTCCTTGGGGGTTGTACGGGATACCAGTGATATGCTTGATTTGAAATTGGTGACAAAAATTTTGGAACGCTTGCGAAGTGTATCCAGGTCCATTGTCTGTTTTAATAGTCTGAGGCTTACCAATAACAGTAATGCATTGAAGAACATGGGCTATGACATTCTTAGTGGCTTCCCCACTGTGAAGGGTGGCAAATATAAAACCACTGTAAGTATCGATAGTCACATGGGTATATTTAAGAGCTCCAAACTCAGGAATATGGGTAACATCCATTTGCCAGATCTCATTAGGGAGTAAACCTCTCGGGTTGACTCCTAAATGGGGGAGGGGCAGTGAGGTAACACACCCTGAACAGTCTTTAACAATCTGCCTAGCTTGTTCTCTAGTAAGTTTAAATAAAAGCCGAAGAGTGTGAGCATTCACATGGTGAAGAGCATGATATTGACTAGCTTTGGTAACTGCATCGGTTGTAACAGAATATGTGAAGCGGGTATTTTGATCTGCAAGGGCATTGCCTTGGGAGAGGGGACCAGGAAGGTCGGTGTGGGCTCGTAGGTGTCCAATATAGAAAGGGGCTTGTCTGCGTAATATAAAGGTTTGGAGTTGTTGGAAGAGGGAAACAGCATTGGTAGAAGGCTTAATGTGAGGGACTGTTTCTAGAATAGGAACTGAATATGCTATATAAGCACTGTCGGTATACAGGTTAAAAGGGACTTGGCTCAACACTTTGAAAATCTGTAGGATAGCAAATAATTCTACAAGCTGAGCTGATTTGAAAGGTGATTGAATGCTGTGACTCTGTGAATTAATAACATAGGCAGCTATACCCGAGGAGGAGCCATCAGAGAAAACTAAAGGGGCGTTGTCTAAGGGAGTGGATGAGGTTATTTTTGGGAAAATAAAAGGATGTAATCGTGAAAATTGTAGGAGTTTGTGTGAGGGATAATGATTATCTATTTTACCTTGGAAAGAAGTAAGGGCTATAATCCAATCATCTTCATTTTGGAGAAGCCAATCTATTTGCTCTTTAGTGTAGGGGATGATAAGCTGATCAGGATCTCTGCCAAAATACTGACGGCTCTTTTCTCTGCCCATCCTTATGATTTTTGCAACTAGCAAAGGGTATGTAATGAGGACTTTAGATGGGGAAGAGGGCAAATGAATCCATAATAGGGGATTATTCTGCCATAAGACCCCAGTAGGAGTATGCGGCGTATTACAAATGATGAGAGCGAAGGGCCTGTCATAGGATAGGAACGTAATTTGTTGTTGTTGTATAGCTGTTTCAACAATGTTTAAAGTTTCTTTTGCTTCGGTGGACAGTTTCCGAGGGGATGAGGGATCGGGGTCTCCTTGTAGTATATCAAAAAGAGGTTTTAACTCTCCAGTGGTTAATTTAAGATAGGGTCTGAGCCAATTAATGTCTCCTAAGAACTTTTGGAAGTCGTTCAGTGTATGTAAGTGTGACGTTCTTAATCGAATTTTCTGGGTGGTAATTTTGTTCCAAGTCAATTCAAACCCAAGGTAGTAATAGGGATCTGTTAATTGAATTTTATCTGGGGCAATTTGAAGACCGAAAAAGGTGAGATGGGTGGTCAGTTCTTGACTGCATGTTAGGACTTGAGTGCGGGAGGCTCCAGCTAGAAGGATATCATCCATATAATGAATGATATAGATGGAAGGCCATCGGGTTCGGAGGGGATCTACGGCTTGGGCTACAAATTTTTGACACAGTGTGGGGCTATTTGCCATACCTTGAGGGAGTACTTTCCATTGGTAGCGGTGCATGGGTCCTTTAAAATTGGTGACAGGAATACTAAAGGCAAAGCGCTCTCTATCTTGGGGATGGAGAGGAATGGTAAAGAAACAATCTTTAAGATCAATGATGATCTTGAAATAATTGGCTGGGATGGCTATAGGAGAGGGGAGACCGGGTTGAAGGGCCCCCATTGAGAACATGGTTTTGTTGATTTCTCTGAGGTCTTGGAGGAGTCTCCATGTTCCTGATTTTTTCTTAATTACAAATATTGGCGTATTCCAAGGAGAAGTAGTGGGTTCTAAGTGTCCAGCAGCTAATTGTTCCTGTACTAACTTAGTAGCTGCTGTGAGTTTTTCTTGATTCAAGGGCCATTGATCCACCCAAACAGGCGAATCTGATTTCCATTTTATTTTGTCTGCATGGGGTACAGGAAGGTCAATGGCCCTCATGGAAAATTGTTGTTCCCTAATCCTAAACGGTCATTCTTGGGTATAACAGTAAGGGGTTCTTTTATGCCTTGACTGTATTTTCCTAAACCTTGGCCAGGGAGATAGCCTTGATTAAGCATTTGTCGGGCAATTATGTCATTTGGGCTGGCCATGACGAGCTTCAATTGAGATAGAATGTCACGGCCCCATAGATTAATGGGCAATCCAGCGACTATGTAAGGTTGGACTTGTCCTGAATTTCCCTCCTTATCCTTCCAAATTAAGATCTTAGAACTTTGCTTTGGGTTAGTAGATTGACCAATGCCTTTGAGATGGGTTATGGACGTACTGCAGGGCCAACTGGGAGGCCACTGTTGGGCTGATATTACTGTAGCATCTGCTCCTGTATCAACTAAACCTTCGAAGGACTTGCCATCCAATTGTAGGGTTAACAATGGCCGTTCAGTGGTAATTTGTTGCACCCAATAAGCATCAGAGGAACCAAAGGCAGCATTCAATCTGAAATTTTTATTGTAACTTTTGTTTGTTAAGTCTAACGGGAGCAATAGGAGTTGAGCTATTCTTTTTCCTTTGTAAATAGATATTGGGCCTGTCGGAGCAGAAGCTAGGAGGGTAATTTGTCCTGTATAATCATTATCAATAACTCCTGGTACAATATGAAGGCCAGCTAATGTAGAGCTCCCCCGTCCTAATATTAGACCAAAGGTATTGGAGGGTAAGGGTCCATAGGTTTCTGTGGGGAGCAACTGGATACCTTGATCGGGTACTAATATTGTGTCGGTGGCGGAACAGAGGTCCAAGCCTGCGCTTCCTGGGGTGGCACGGGAGAGGGAGCTGATGCTTGCGCAGGGAGGATTTGCTGTTGTTGAGCTTGGGGAACGAACCTGATAGCCCCTTGGTTCGTATTCAGTGGTGGGGCCAGGGGCTGGCCCCTCTGGGAGTTTCCCTGGAGTGGTGGAAGGGGGGTACCTTCAATATTCGTTTTAGAACGGCATTCATTAGCCCAATGGAAACCACGCCGACACCGAGGGCATAGGGTTTTGGGGGGGAGTATGAGTCAGGGGTGTATGAGGCAGGGAAGTGCGAGGCGGGTGAGGCTGAGTCTCTGCCTGGCACTGGCGAGCAAAATGTCCTGGTTGTTTGCCATTTAAAGGACGTAAGTGCGGGATAAATATTTGGAATCTTAGGGGGATCAGCTATGTCCTGGGTATCAATTTTATCATGGGTATTTGGGGATTCTGTGTCTGGTTGAAATTCAGGGGATTTGTTAGTAGGAATTATGGGTTCGTCAGGAATATCTACGGCTACTGAAGGGCAGGCAGAGGGCGGTCGGGAGTCCTCTCTGAGAGCTTTTTCTCCTGTTTTGATTATAGTTTTAATGTCGGGATCTTGTGAATGAACCTCAAGGACGTCATGAATAAGGTTCCAATATGAAAATGCTGAGACAGGAACTTTTTCAGGGCCAAAGGTCCGATAAAAATCTTGAAGGGCATCACCAACTCTTTTCCACTGTTTGTGATCAATAGTGCCCTCTAGGGGAAACCAGGGACAAGTCTCATGGATAAAAGTAAAAAAATACCTAAGGTCTTTTCTTTTAACCCTAATTCCTCGTGTCCTGAGGGACTCCTTGAGTCCAGTAAGGAAAACTTCATGGGAGTTCAGAGAGTTGCCCATCACTATGGCCGCAACCCTTGCACTGTATAAATTTGAATCCTTTCCTCCAATTTAGCCGCAACTACATCAATGTCCTGAAACACTGGAGCCACTCTCGTCAGCTCAGACGAGCCCTTGTTTACGTAGGACAGTCGGCAGGTACAATCCGCCTGCTCGGACCCTCTAGGGCAGGGACTCTGGAGTCGGAGTCCCCCGGGTATGCCTTCGAGGTGAACGACCGTTAGCCCAAAGTAAACACAAGGTTTTCAGAGAGGAACAACTAGTGAACAAAACAAGGAATAAATCGCGGCAGCAAACTGGAGGGAAGTGATAAGATCAAATGGACTGCTGAACACCCAAGAGGTTGTTTGGAATCTTGCTTGGGGGATTCGTCTACTCACCTCTCAAGGATCTGTATTACGGACGGGTGAGCCGCAGTGATCCTTCTCCATGCAGAGTCGACATCAGGTCAATACCCGTGCGGTGACTCAAATGAATGCCTGGCCAGGGCTTCCGAGCAGACGTTTCAGCAGGAGTCCCGGGGGGCCCCACGTTGGGCGCCAGTTGTCCCGACCCGCGGGATTAACGTGGAGTGTAGCCGGAGACGCCTGCAGAAATGAACAAGCAAGGGACACAAAGAACGACCAGCAAGACAGGATGTCTGATCAAGCTGGCGCAGTTTATTTGCAGCAGGCTTAATTTATACAAGTCAGCAAGGAAGGGGAGGGTCAGAAGATGATTGGTCACCAAGTGGTGCTAGCAGGAGTGTGTACAAGGGTGATTGGGTCTTGGTGGGTACTGGCGGGAATAGTAAACCCGGAAAAGAAGCAGGAAATCCGCCATCTTGTGGGTGTGGGCCCTTTTGGTCTCCGGCAGGTGTCCATTTCAAGAGTACTGGCATATTTATCTGAAACAACCCCAGCCTTCAAGGAGCTTACAGTCTGGTACAGTACTTGAGGCATTTATAGACTTGGTACACCACTTCATATGCCAGAGTAGAGTTCAGACATGGAAATCTACTTTCACAGACTGTTGAAATGCAAGGCATGGATTTAGTATAAAATTTGTATCGGGGACTCCTCAATATATGTTTGATCAAATTTAAATACCTCCCCAACAGTTAAAATACATCTGCCCTAATCTGAACTCCATTCTACCCTCAATTAAATGATTTAACTTTGTCTTTAATTAGAAATCAGTACTGCCTTCCTAAAAACCTTATGCAAATACATACATAATACATAATAGAGCAAATCCATAAGGTGTATTTTCTATGGCAAGCACTCCTTAGAGCGTGATCTCTGATGGTTTGTGACATTGGGGCTACATGCCTATCAAGACTCACAGAGCCTTTGCTCCTGTGCTTGATGTTGAAATAGCACCACGGAAAGAAAATAAGAGACACCTGCCTTTGAAGGAAGGGACACCAGATGTGACTTCTTATGCTTAGCTTTGCTGCTTACTGGTGCCTTAGGTTGGGATTCCTAGAAGTGAAGCCAGAGATAGGACTCCTGTGTGAGTGATTTCTTGAGTGAGTGGTCTCAGGTACAGCCTTTAAAGGAGCAAGGGAAGCAGGAAAGGAAAGCAGAAAACTTAGACAAGGACATGGGGGTCTATCTTCAGTATGATGGTATAGAGGGCTTGAGAGCATAGGTAGCACCCCAGAGTTGTCCCAGGGGGAAGTCAGGGGGCCAGCCTTTTACACCCCATATTACTCAGTTGCTGGCTGCAGCCTTCTCCCCCGCTTCCCTGGGAGACTCTGCCTGGAGTAACTTTCAAGGCATTACTGAGGAAAGCGGTTCCTGTTGATGAGGAGCACCCCTAAGGGAGGGGTAGCAGCTGTCATTGGTAATCAACACTCACATTTTGGGGCTGGAAGAAGGATGAGTACACCAGCCCCATAAAGAGAATCTGGGTAAGGCTCCAACAGTTTCCGGTGTCACAGCAATAAATCATAAGTGTGGATGCCAAGGTCAGTCTGGTAGACAACTCATTTGGCTTCAAAGTCACACTGACAGGGACCAAATTTCAAACACATGGAGACACTCACATCCACATCTATGGCTGTGCCCCTGCTGTAGGTGTGGGGGCTGCCTGCCTTGCTATGGCACATGATTGATGATATTGTACATGAACTATCATTTAACCAAGAACCGTGGAATCATTGCCGTAATGCAATGGAAGTGCCTTCCCCTTGCAATGCTAGTTAGACATCTCAAAGATACTCATAATAGCCCTGTCTTTTCAAGGAGCATGAGGTCAATATGACCATAAGAAACAGTAGAGATTATAGTCCACCCCAGGTCTGACTGTAGTTTGTCACTGGCATTTCTGAGTTGACAATGCAAGGAAGAAGGGTTGGCCCACAGTTCCCAGCTAAGACTGGCTCCTGTTAATGAACTGGAGTACATCAGTGTATAGAAGGGCAGCTCCTAAGGAGAACTAATGGAACAGATTGCATTTACAGGGAAAGACTAAAGTGGGCCATGATGGGAACATACCCAGGAATTAGAAGTGGAAATCTTCTTGCCAGTTCTCAACTGGGCCATGCCAGACTTCCAGGATATGAGATACATAGCCCTGTCTGACTCTTTCTTACTGTGTCTATAAGAACATCCAGAGGACTTCTCTGGCATATTAAGCAGGTTTTAAAAATAGGGTTCAGCATCAGGTGATAGTACCTGTGGTAGAGCCCTGTGGGGAGGTTAGGGAGTAAAGACCAGTCTTTGCTCTCAGGGTGGGGGCAGGGTGAAGACTGTCTGTAGGATAAAGCTGCTCTCATTTGTACTTTGGAGCAGGGGAAGCTGTTCTGGTCTTTCTAAATTAGAAAGAAGCATGAATGACATAATAAAGGCTATTGCTTTTCATTCACAAATAGTTCTGCCAGAGAATGATAACCTGGGTTTTCTACATTAAGTGGCAGGGAGCTGTTTTGGAGCAGCTGAGGTATCATTATCTTGTTTATGTGCAAAGGATGAAGCTTAAGTAGATGTAAAATTTACTTTTATAAGGGCAACATGTTCCGACCAGCCTGCACTCACAACCCAGCTGCCTCATGAGGATTTCTTGGATTAGAGGCAACCCATGCGTGCTCTGACCTTTTAGATAAATTAATTTTGTTTCTCTCCTATAAACTCCTGGCAGAGCAAATGTGAGAGGGGGATACAGAAGCAAATGTCCCAGTAAAGAGATGGACTTGACCAGAGCAGGGATGGCAGAGAGAGGCAAGGGAGGGAGACGCGCTCGCTCTGCACTTGCCCAGGAGTGACGGTGGAGTCGTGCTTGCCTCCCCACCCCCACCCCACCCCCACCCCCACCCCACCCCCAGAGGAAGTGATTTGTCTGAGATCCAACAGGGGGCAGGCAGATGTGGGCCTTGCCGTCTAGGTCCCACCTCCCACCTCCTGGAGTTTCTACTACGCTTGGCGTCATAAGACCAGACCCATGGCTATTGCCAAAGAAACACCAGAGCTGAAAAGCTGTTAAAAGGGTAAAAACAAGATTTTACACAAACTATTGCAATAAGGGCAGTGAGAACTCGGTAAAGAGCCAGGCTCAATTCTGCATAAAGCATAGGTGAGTGGGATTCATAGCCAAGGATCAGGGTGGGGGGCACTGGGTGGAAAGTTACTAAGAGGAAACATCAGAGATGAGGTATTTTGGCTAAAGTGACCTGACAGGATTTCCACTGAAGGCAGGCCCAGGGAGATCAGACATCGCCTGGGGAATCATAGGGTGTGGGGGATTTGATTAGATATTGAGGGTGGGGGATTCTGGCTAAATCAATCTGCCAGGATCTTGCTAAAACTGGGCTTGAAAGTCAGTTTTAGGAGAAGTTAGAAGAAGGCATATTTTTCGTGCCGTGGCAAGCAGAGGGCTTAAAGGAGCCTGACAAAAGTTTGGTCAAAAAGCGGATCTTTGTCACTCTGCAACTCATATCCAAATAGCACCTTAATCACTTTCAGATCCTCACCCAAAAGTGGGGGATCACACTGTCTCTTTCACCCACCTCACAGGGATTTGGGGACAGGTGGGAAATACACAAATGCTTTGAAAACTGTAAGCCACTGTTTAAATATAAGGATATTTAAGGATTGATCTCTATAGTACCACACTGCCTCCCAGACATCTGAAAAATATTCCCTCTGCTGGGTTCCTTAACCCAACAACATTCCTGTTGGTGGCTGGTCTTTGAGAAGGTGGAACTTGTTCTTTCGATGATTTGGAGTGGAACTGTTCAGAAATAGTCTTTGCTCTCCTGAAAAAAGGTGTCTCTCTTCAGAAAGCCAGGTGTCTATTTAATGATGCATCAAAGACTCTTTTTGAAGCACGTGAAGGCTTTCATATTGTAAGGCAATGATCGAGAAACATGTTTTCGGCAATCAGCCTTCAAATCTTAACACCAGTGAGTAAGATATTACAGGAAAGCCTGGTAATGTTACAGTGGACCAGCCTTTCTCTACGGTTTTCCCTGGCAGCACTGTGTAACGCATGTCCCCTGTGAACAGCCTCCTAGGTTATGGTTTCTGTTTCCTTCCCGAGCTGTGAGTTAACCAAAAACTGAAGATCTCCAACTTCATCAATAAATACCCCTTCAGGAAAGGACTGTTAACTTTGAGCACTGTAATATATGCAATCAAAAGGTAGTGTGAAACAAAGGAAAGAACACTGGAGAGAAGAGGGAGATTTCTCAATGGACTCACTGGTTTCCCTTTTCCCTTAGGCTGCCAGAGAGCTCAGAGCTGATGCTGTGGTTCAGAATTGGCCCTACACACATAATTTTCCAAGAGAGCTTTTATCATTTGTTTCTTGGGGTGGGTTTCATGTTCCATATGTCCCTACTCTTGCTTTTCTTTTGTATCTCTTTTTACTAACTTACATTGAATTTTATAATGTATCCTATGGCTAGGCTGCCATAATCCTCTTTGGAATAATGTGGGGTATAGAGCTCAACAGTGAGTTTAAGCTGGCCATTCCTCCTCTTTGAGGCTGATTAGAACTGGGCTGGGATCCTTTCCTGCCCTAAAATGCGATATGCCATGAGTTGATGATCCAGTTAGAAAGATGATACTAATATAGTAGATGGGGGCTGAGAATACTACTCTCAGGGGCTGGGAAGTATGGAATGGGCTGAGGGCAGAAAAGCAAGACCAGTATAGAGACAAGACTCAGAGAATGTTAATACTGGAAGGGAATCTGACAATCTGAGGGTCTTAACTAAGGAAACTGAGGCTCAGAGAGAAGTGTGTTGCCTAAACTCATAAAATTGGTAGTGGTGGTTCTAGACCCTAATCCAAGTTTGTGCATGTGGAGGGTTTTTCCATATGCTTTCCCATCTTTAGACAATAATAATAAAGTTATGCTGTGACAAGTAATCTATATTAGCAAGAGAAGACTTGCCTCTTTAGTGATGCCAAGCTAGTGGATGTGGCTGTACCAGACCAAACTTACCAAGGCCAATTCTTGAAGCGTCAGTCAGTGTTAAATACGACCTACAATTTATTAAGAGTCAAGAGACAACTATCTGAACGAGGAAGCTATGAGTCTTCAACACAGGACAAAACTCAGTGACCCTTCTAGCACTCGTAAGGAGCAGAAGATGAAGGAAGAAGACAGGAAGGGTCTTCAGGGTGCTCATGTGGGCAGATTCCACGGCCCTGACAAAAAGGATACCTGTTTCATCCTCTGTGCTCTGACTGTATCCTTTTTTAGTTCTGGGCAAGCCTGGAATTTTCTGGGAGTGAGCTGATCCTATA